CGGCTCCATTTTGCAGTCTCCAAAACTTCGTTTGAACTCCTTTGTAATGAAACGATTTTACAGCATGCTATTGCCTACTGAAGTACAACCGCGTGAGTCCCGTCTTCGCCAGGTACACTTAGTAAAAATTGATGAACATCGTCACTAATATCAAGTGCCATAAGCTGTGAGCATTATCTGGTGGACATTAAGCAGTTCTTCCCAAAACTCGCTCAATTGTTATGAAGACGATTAAAGTGAATCGTCCAAAATACTTTAGTTAGAATTACCAACTGTTAATTGGCCAACCTTTCCCACAACTCAACCAACTGACCAATCAGATGTGCCGTTACTGTGGGATAGAGAAGTAGGTACGTAGGTGGGTGGGTAGACAGACCTAAAGCCATGGATTTGGTCGGACACACAAGCGCACACATGCGCACATTAAACTGAACCTGTCTGTCGCACTACTTTAGACACGCTCTGAACCCTGCGTGTCTGTCCACAATTGTGCGTGAGTCAGAGCAATTTTCCACTAGGACGTCGTCAACATTAGCTATTACCTATGCACGCTAGCCTGGACAAATGGTTCTCTTCGTCTCGCGGTTATTTTACTTCCTCTACTCACTCCTCGAAATCCACTTGTAATTGTCAATCTGTGCATATTGTCATCTCGAAGTTGCAGTTCTCACGACGCCGTTTCTGAATGCTGTTGGCGATAAATCAGGTGGGTTATAAAGCGCCACAATTTTTTCGTGTAGCGATTAATAAGGTGGTAGAGAATGGCATTGCGTTCATTCGCAAACTTGAACACATTGCAACCACGGGCAGTCCAGGTTCCTTGATTGGTCAAAACTAGCGTTTTACGCTTCATGTTGTTGTCACATGAGAAAGGGATGTTGTGGGGCCTAGAAAGCTGCTCCAAAGGCTCCGAGTGATTCACAGATTGACAGCCTGGTGGACTCCCACTGCCAAGGGACTTCTGCCATTGGGACAATCCATTATCCATTTCTTAACCTCACTACGCTAGACGCCTCATTGGTATTGCTCAGTTGACAGGACATCATAAAGGATTAGAAGAGTCTGTCAAGTAAAATTTATGCACCATTTTTAGTTCCACCGAAGATGGCGCCAATCCAGGTGTCTCGTATCACCCTCCCATCCTCGGGAGGCCTCTCATCTGCTCGTAGCACCGATGTACATGCAAACACTGGCACTGGTGGTGGCGTTGATCTTGCCACCCAATCACCCCAAATCTACGGTCTAGGCACCCGCACCAACCCCTACGACCTGCGCTCTGGAGTGGAACTGCATCTCATTTGCCAAACTGATTGTGGTTACCCTCGAGCTCTGCCAGAATGGACAGTGAATAATATGGTGAGACTGTTTACTTAGCTTTTTTCCATCTTGACTTATGAATGTCCCTTTCTTCTATCGAGTGAGACGATATTGAGAAAAATTCATGAGGTAGTGAACACATTATTACCAACATGAAATACGCTAAGTAAAAGTGAACTGCCATAAAAGTAGAGGACTTAAAAGCAGAAGACCATTTTGCTAAAGAACTAAACACACTGACCTCATGGGTCATTCACTGTTAAGGATTTTGCATGAAAGTGAATGACTACCCATTTCCACCTAACGGCGTTGAATAAGTTTGAAAACGGTTCAGAATTGCTGCTCCACTCTGTAGTTTGTGATTTATAGTGCGCCATGTCTTCTTTGAAGTCTGGAACTTTTACCCATTGTTTTGTGCACACAGGTCCCATGGTTGAAAGGACATTCTACCAAAGGGAAAGAAGGGGAGGGAGGGGGGCGAGCAGGTGAAGCCCACTACGACTGTAAAGCTCAGTTAATGGAAATATGGGCGTTGAAAAATATCAAGCTGCCGAGTAGTCTCTTTTATGTCCTGATCATCACAGTTGGCATTCCCTCTTGGTTCCTCTGCATTTCGTCATTAGTGACGCTGTTAGTAGTGCTTCAAAAGGTCACGTAAGATTCACTAGCGTTGAAAGCTGCATAAGCAGCTGATGTTGTAACGTGGTTCTGTGCGTGGAGGCTTCGATGCATCATTTGTAACATTCAAGGCTGGACACCGGTCGACACTGAGAACATTGAAGGCCTCAATTATTCGTGACTGACCTCTGAAAAGGGCAAACTGGTTGAGCGACTAGAACAGGTGA